GTTTAGGTTAACATTTGATGAAATCGTTTTTACAACAATGGTTAATTCGAGCGCGTTCATTGAATTATATGGGTCATTATAAGTAACACAGCGAGTCGGCTCGCGATTATTCAAATTAACTAATACTTTCGCAACAGTACAATCTACGATCTACGAATCGTCTTTGCATTCTAATCTGCGCGACAGGCAGAATAATACGCGCAATTGAAAGGGAACGACGGTAGAAGGAGAAACATAGGGGAATCGCAGGAACCGTGAAATGGAATGCGGCAGTTTCTACTCAAAAAGGCCGAGAGAAGGAGAGACTAAAAGCGTACAAGTGCAACGAACTGCGACTAGGACGATTACGGAATATTGCGGTGGGCGGGCAAGAGGGAAACGTTGCGTCAATTTGGCGGAGATTTGACGTGCCAGCGGCCGAAAGAAAAACTGATGTGCGTCCCTAGAGGGCGCGTGTTGGAGACTGGCCAACACGCGTCGTTTTCATTTACGCGAAACTTTTCCAGCCGTGGCTGAAAGCTGCCACGGCTGACAGATGGATACCAATTTTCTATTCGTATCCGTGCTTTCTAACGGCAAATTTACCTTGTTACATCGCGAGCAACGTTCTGTACCCGAGCTGAAAACTAGTCGTCCCGTTCGTCTATCCACGTTGTTCACGAAGGGGAGAGGACACGCATGCAACAGTTTCATCCCCGTGGAAAATCGGAGAGAGACAAAGGTCCGCTCGACGCGCGGCAGTGGACCGGCATAATAGTCGTTGTTGCATTATACTCCCCGTAGGCTTCCCCTACGTAATCGCGATATCGGTTCAACGGCCATGCGAAATTAACTTTCTCCGGCCTGCCAACGAGAAGCTCGCTAGAATCAGCGTGGCTACTATATACACGCTAGGCTACTAGCGATGTACTCGAACCGCACCTGAACAGCATTCCACCGTTTTTAACCTATTCGCGCAAAATAACGTGTCAGGTTCGTAGTGTATTTTTGTGGCAATAATAACTACTTGAGAATGTCAACTTTGCTTGGTAGCTTTACATATTCCAGAATGTTTCAAAAAGTATCATACTGAAATAAACTATTAATACATTGTGTATACAATCTTTTGTTTGTTTACTAAAGAAGTTTCTCTTTGGAAAATTTATTATTAATAAATAGTAATATGTTATATTTTTCATTTTCCTCTTTGCTACCATACCACACCATATCATCTAATCAACTTTTTTTGAATTGTTTCTACATTGCATTGCCTAAATGCATTTTATCCACAAAATATACATAATGACTGCCACGCGAATGGGCTAATCCTGTTTCTTCTGAAGGGACATTGTACTTAAATCTAACACTTTCTTTTCTTTTTTCATAATTTGCTGATAATTATAACGAACGTGTACATTTGGTGTTATACGATATGATGTATAGTAATGTAACATCTGAACAGACGCGCTTAAAAAGTGAAATATATAACGACATAAGAAGAACAAAATTATCTCAGAGGAAGAAGTTTCTCAAGATAGACCCGAGTCAATTGACACTCACCAGAATAATTCGGATAATAATAATAATATAATTCACATAAATTAAACTTCTTATTGCTTCTTGCAAAAGTTCAAAAAACGGCGAAGGATGTTACTTTTCCAAAGATTAAAACTATGTATCATCAACTCTTGTATATTATTGTTCTAGCAAGTCCACAATGCACGTTGATTTGATTGCTTTAAATTTGAATATCGATATCACGATACGTCAAAAAGGTAGCAACAAAATTTCGTGTTAAACATCGTTTGAATAATTATTTCCAATGCTATATCATTCCACTTGAAGTGATGAAAGCTTCGTAAATATAAATTGCAAAAAAAAGTTTGTCCAGGGCAAAGAGTTAAATATCGAACGCATCATTTGATTTCTTTCCTAGTTTCTGCACTATTTGCTTAACAGCTCGATGAATGAAAATATGGCAAACCTGGATATGATTACAATTAACAGATGCATATAAACGTGGATATAGTTAACGAATAGCTGAGGATACTCAAGACTGATTTTATATCTTCGGTCCATATCGATATAGAATATTTTGGTGCGTTACATCATGAGAATCGAGGCTGTAGGACTAGTCAAAGTTGCTTCAAGTATTTATCTCTGCAATACTGGTATTATATTGATTCTGAATCGTCAAAGCGAATTTATAATAGTTGAACGTAGAAATTACCGTTTAATTTTAATGCTTTCAAAATCTTGATTTTTGAAGTCTGTGATTAGTGAATCTTAAAGCATTCGAGCCTAATGTCTTACGAGCAAATCTGGTACGTAAGATTTCGTGTTGCCATTGCTGACGATTGCACAGGAATCCAGGAACAACAGGTAGAATGGAATTAGTCACTGGATACCCTTGGGATGGTTTGGGAAAATCCCTCACGGTGTTTCTCTTTCGAACAGGATTAGGAAGCATAGGTCAGGAACGACTCATTTGTCCAATCACAAAATCTGGAAAGAATTTGTTGAATCGTTAGAAAATTTTCAAAAGCGCGATTCCATATTGAAATCTTGATAGTAACTGTAATGAAACACGCATGAAGAGTTTTCCAGTTGGTAACTAATATATAAACCGATTTAGTGAGGTTATACAACGCGTCGGGTTGCATCACGTAGTCGCAACTCGTTTGTTAACTGGTCTAACATCGGAACGGAATAACAATGCTAAATACGAACACGTTACTTTCTCTTCGACCGATGATTTTACGTACGAGCTATTTGCACTCGTAAAATTAACGAGTTCAACTAAAAACCATTTAAAAAAGAAAAAAAAAATAAGAAAGAAAGGTTAGCTTCACAATATGTGAAAGCTACTGAAGCATCATGAGTAGTATTATCTTGTCCCTCTGGCGGCGACTGTAAGAACTACTAAAAATGCTCAAATGTTCAAGAATATCATATCCAGATATTCAGCAATTCAAGTGTTGAACACTTTTAACTAGCTAAAAATAAAAGAATCAAATTGAAACATTCGTATCTAATATATCGCAAAATACTGAGACTAGAAGATTACAAGGAAGAAGTTAACAAGTTAAACTAAAGCGAGCAAGCAAGTGACTTTAACAGCTGTTTGCTCTCTGGATATTACAGAAATTCACGCATTACGTCCACGCGTGGTAACGGCTAAATATACACAACTAATGACTGTTACGAAATGTCA